TATATATTAAGAAATGGACAAGGTCTGACAATTTATTTATTAAAGACATTTTATGTTTAACGTTGTTATTTATAGATACAAGTATTTAAGAAAATGCTCTGTTTATGATAAACAGTATTAAATAACATTTACCGGCCTGAATGTAAAAAGGGTAACAATCTGTTATATCTTAAAGTCCGTTACCTAGGGGAAAATTTTTTCATAGAAAATATTCGTTCTTTGACAGGATTCGAACCTGCATCCTATGGAACCGTCATTTACGCTGACGTGCCTTACCTCTGGGCCACAAAGAACCTTTTCGGTAGACAAGGTCGAATTAACTGCTTTAATAAATAAATTGTCGGACCTTGTCCATTTCTTAATATATGAAGTCATTTGTTTACATTTGATACGCCAGAGCAGTTATGAATGTACGAGATTCATGGAAGATTGAAGTTTATAAGCAGTAAATTCGACCTTCTCTACCGAAAAGGTTCTTTGTGGCCCAGAGGTAAGGCACGTCAGCGTAAATGACGGTTTCGTATAGGATGCAGGTTCGAATCCTGTCAAAGAACGAATATTTTCTATGAAAATTTCTCGGACATTCAGGCCGGTAAATGTTATTTAATAGTGTTTATCATAAACAGAGCATTTGCTTAAATACTTGTATCTATAAATAACAACGTTAAACATAAAAATGTCTTTAATAAATTTATATTTAGTTTTATATATATTTATTTATATTTATTTATATTTTATATTTTATTTATATTTTATATATTTATATATTTAATTATATATTTAATTAGTCTTTTAAATTTTATAATATGATAAAATATAAATATAAATATGGGTACAATTACATTATTATATATACAGTTACCTTAAAAAATGGGTACACGTTTGGCTGGTTAAAATAACTGAATGTTTTCTTCTGAGATACAAAATTTGCCCCATTATTAGTAAGGAATTAAATTAGATACTTCTTTTAATTACAGCTTGCCTCTAATAGTAACGGAGATGTTTGATAAGGTAATGTAAAAAAACTTTAAATGTTATATGTATATTAGAAAGATATTCAGTGAAAACACACTCCTCGCGAGATGTTATTCCCCAACCTACACACACATCATCTGGCATACATAATTAACCACCTCATCAAGAGAGCATCACCTGCAATAAACTCCGAAGCCAAGTTTGTAAACATAACATCATTTTCACCCCACCCGACACTCACATAATATTCAGACCACCAGCTCTGAGTTGTGTCAATTTACATCTTATATATTTACTCTTCTGACACGAATGGCGAAACAAGCACAGAAATCCGTCTTCGGTTAAATAATAATAAACAAACTCAAAGACAACAACAACAAATTATCTGTCGCTACACACTTCTACCCACCAATCCATAGCATTGAGGACATCAGATGCATGCTTTTAGCGTCTTCATTTTCAAAATAGAATCATATATTAAAAGGCTTATTAAAAGTGATTTGAGTTTATTCAGAGAATATAGTTTTCACAGTGAGCACTCTAACCAGCAACAACAACAATATACCCCGGAAGAGTGAGTCTCTATTTCTCGTCTTGATGAAGAAGAACACCGGCGTGTCCGAAAATTCCGTTTCTAAAATCTTGCATTTCATCGTTCAATTTAGTCAAAAAGCCTACTAATATATATATATATATATATATATATATATATATATATATATATATATATATATTTAAAAATATGATTCCAACACGCTACATAAGAGGTCTTATGTTTCAAAACAAGAGCCGAAAGCTTCAATATAATTATTTGAATTAAATTGAATTAAAGTAAGCTCCGTTCCATCTTCAAGCGAAATTTTTTTTGGAATATCGTATTTCTGAAATTTACGTGTTTTAATAGCATATTCATAATTGAAATCAAAATTTCCATGGTAATAGGGAGGGATGTTGCGTGTTAATAATTTGTATCAGTATAGAGTTACATTCATAGATGTCAAGTCAGGCTAAGTTGGGGATGTCTAAATTTAAAACGAAAGATGTTTTTGCCTAGTCTGGTTTACGTGTCTATGGAGATTTATTTATTTTTTTATTTTATTTCTTTATGAAAGGGTTTTGTGTATAAAAAAAAAACAAAAAAAAACTGCTGTAACATTTGTTTTTTGACGACTTCATAAAGGGTTATCTTTTTTGTAGGGTATTTAAACTATTTATTAGGGCTATGGATTATAAAAAATTATTTTAGTTTTTAAGCTAATTATTCAATGCAAAAATATGGTGATGTCGGCAAAAAACTGTTAACTCATGTCTATTCTTTAATAAATTTTTATTATTTAGAAACTTAATAATGTGCAGTTTTTCATGGAGGCACAAAGGGCAAGGGTCATCCCAAGTTTTACAAGTTCTAGAAATGGAAAATTATTAACAGGACTAGAACTTGTAAAACTTGGGATCACCCATGCCCTCCCTATTTAAACTATCGCCCTAGCTCTTACCATGGAAATTTTGATTTCAATTATGAATATGCTATTAAAACATGTAAATTTCAGAAATAAGTTATTCCAAAAAAAAAAAAATTCGCTTGAAGATGGAACAGAGCTTACTTTAATTCAATTTAATTCAAATAATTATATTGAAGTTTTCGGCTCTTGTTTTGAAACATAAGACCTCTTATATAGCGTGTTGGAATCATATTTTTAAATAAATACTTATATTTATGCTCTACTTTTGTATCGAGCACTATTTTTAAAAAATAATAACAAAAATACTAAAGAACTTTGGATTATTTACCTAACCAGTTCTTTCCTATTTTCTATATATTTTCACACACACACACACACACACACACACACACACACACACACATATATATATATATATATATATTTATAAAATAAATATCATCAATCTCATTGCGAATATTGTAATAATGATGCAGTTTTTTCTTCCTCAAATTTCATTATCAGAATTGCAGTATAAATTCTTGATTATTCTTACGTCGCTTTCTTTCTTGGGAAAGGCTTGAGCCGATCTCTTAGCTCCTCAGCTATGGGCTAAATAACGGTGTAGAGTGAGCTTTCTAGAATTTTTTGGCAGTCAGTCTAGCAGAGGCACAGATCCCTGAATACAAAATGACTGTGTCGAAAATGTTTCCCAGAAATACACAGGTAACGAAAACGAATCATTGGAGAACGATTCTCATCTGTATCCTGAATTTCAAATACATAAATATATTTATATTAACCATTTCACCCCAAGAAAGGTGATAATAACACTAGGATTCTAGAGGTTACTGAGAGAGATTGAAAAGACTTTAATAGGGAGAAAGAACAAGAAAGAACAGTTATTAGAAAGACAATTGGTGGCGATTGACGCTACATTTAAATTTTTGAAGATTGTAGGTAGCAGCGAAGCGAGAAATCTGAACAGGTGAGAAGTGCGAGAAAAGAAACTATTAGAAAAGAACTTACGGTTACGTTTAGCTATTTAAAAAGTAAATCGATGATGCCTAATTGCCAATCTAATGGTACGCTTAAATTTACGTACAGAACAACTCCCATTAAAATATTTATAGAAAAGACGTCACTGCGATGGGAAAGTGATTGAAATAATAAATAAAAATTCAAATGACATATTCTCCAATAAGTATTTAGTTAATATATACAACACCAATCTACGAGAAGGTGTTGTGCATATGTGGCAAATGTAAAAAGGTGTTTTTTGATTAATGGTATTGAAAATGCCATCTCTCAAAAGACACAATATACATATTTTGAAAGAGTATTGTGAAGAGGCTAATACTTTCAGAGCCAGCATTTTTAAGCTTTACAGATGAAGTAAAGATAATATTAATTAATCCCCTTTGGCTGTAACCGCATTAAAATACTTCAAATTCACCAGAAAACTTTTACGTAAGAGAAGAAAATAAAAAAATATTTTCGTCTTAAACATACACCATCTTGCCAAAATGTTGTAGTTTAGGTTTCTAGTATCATGTAATATGTCTTCTAGCCCGGTAAAGAACATGTATTCAACATGGATTCTATTACGCAGGTAGTTGAGCCATGCCATCTCGATAGTTTTCTGTGACTTCCTGATATTTGTAGGTGCAAGATCTCTCCATCATCTTGCATAAATATTCTATTGAACGACTGTTGGGAGAATGTTATGATCTCACCCTTCATTAGAAATCTCTAAACATGTCATTGACTGTAGAGTACAGTGTTGTACTGTTTTCCAACTATTTGCACCCATTCATTGATTCCATGTGCCCTAAATGAAGAAAGATTATTTCAGAAGGAAAATTTTGTTGGGTTTAAGAAGCCCAGTATTGTTTTGAAAATGATAATGAATACAAAAATAGAAAGTTTTGTAAGACAAGTACGGGTCTTCTCACTGGACTTATTCCAACTAACAAATGAGGGAATTTTGAAAACACTCCCAGGATTCATTATTGGCGCCACAATATAAGATTTGCTGACGACACAGTGTTGATAGCAGACGCATAAAGAAAACAAGAACTTCTATAGAATATAGTGGAAGAAAACGAGATGAAATGACTAAATATCAATTGTAAATAGACTGAATGCATGATTGTTATTAAAAAGAGCCTCCCAACATAGAAATTACGAATTAATGATAACGAAATCAAACAAGTATAACAATTTGAATGTCTGGGAATTGCTTTAACAGAAAAATATTGTTAGACCCCCCCCCCCAAAAAAAAAACAAAAACAAAAAAACAAATGAGTAGTGATTTGTTATATAATATCAGTTCTGGGATATTATAGTAGGGAATGCTGGAAAATCTCATCATAGATGAAGGAGAGACTTGAAGCAACAGAAATGTCGATCTAAAGAAAGATGCTAACAATACCATGATCGAAACATGTGATCAACGATAAAGTTTTAGAGGTAATGGAAACAAAAACGACACTTATAACTAATATCAGGAAGAGATAGGTGAAGTTTTAGGGTACATAATGAGAAAAGAGGACTTGGAAAATTTTATACTCAAAGGACAGATTGAATTTTATCTATCTATCTATCTGTCAATCTATTGTAGTCTATATATATGTATATATCTATTTTTCTGTATATGTCTGCTATATCTATCTATCTATCTATCTATCTATCTATCTATCTATCTATCTATCTATCTATCTATGTATCAGTGTGTATATATCTATATGTCTCTCTATGTCTCTCTATATATTTATCTGTCTCTCTCTCTTTATATCTATGTGTCTATGTCTTTCTCTATATGTCTCTGTTTATGTCTGTCTATATATATCTATGTATTTTCTATGTCTGTCTGTCTCTTTATATATATATATATATACAGACAGATAGATAGATAGATAGATAGATAGATAGATAGATAGATAGATAGAGAAAGATGAATAGACATAGACAGAGAAAGATAGATATAGACAGATATATATATATATATATATATAGATAGGGGGGGCAGACAGGCATAGAGATAGATATAGACAGGGATAGGCAGATATATATATATATATATACACATATATATATATATATATATATATATATATATATATATATATATATATATATATATATATGTGTATATCTGTCTCTCTCTCTCTCTGTGTCTATCCCTGTCTATATCTATTGCTATATCTGTCTTCCCCCACTCTCTCTCTCTCTCATTATATATATATATATATATATGTGTGTGTGTGTGTGTGTGTGTGTGTGTGTGTGTGTGTTTATCTGTCTATATTCATCTCTCTGTTTGTTTACGTCTATTCATCCATATCTATCTATCTATCTATCTATCTATCTATCTATCTATCTATCTATCTATCTATCTATCTATCTCCGTCTTTTTCATATCTATCTATCTATCTATCTATCTCGGTCTTTTCATATCTATCTATCTATCTATCTATCTATCTATCTATCTATCTATCTATCTATCTATCTATCTCAGTCTGTTCATATCTATCTATCTATCTATCTATCTATCTATCTATCTATCTATCTATGTCTGTCCGTGTCTATATGTCGGTTTATCTAATTACAATTGGTTACTCTCACACACATGCATAAAATGTCGAGATATTTTAAACTTTTCTGTTTATTAAGTCATATAGTTATATATCGTTGATACTGGAGTATGATTACGTTATTCCAATTCACTTTGACATTCAAAGTTTAAAATCCATCCGAAATTTCTCTATTTACATATCTTCTTACCTGTGTTCGTGTCATTAAACTCTCCAACAGCTAATCTTTTCGCTCCATTTGTTTCTGTTCTTGTTTTTTCCGAGTAAAAATCGTTACCTTTCCGTCTGTGATTTATCAGTCTTTTGCCCGTGCACATTTTTCTTTTTTCACCTCCATTTTTCACGATCATTACGTTTGGCCTGTGTTATTTTTACTTCTCAACGCAATAACCATTTCGTTTGTCATCCGTCTAAACTTTTTTTTAGTGAGAAAAGGGGGTTATATTCCAACTTGACAAGCTCATCTATTTTCTTTCTATATTCGTAAAACCATATGCAATTTTCACGCCAGCCAAACTGTACAATTTAAAATGGCCACCAGTTCAAACATCAAAAACGTGAATGTCACGTGACGGAGTCACAACCTACAAATGAAGGATTATTATACTTTCACATTCCGTCACAATTAACTGACGTTAGATGCGTGATAAATGATTTCGTGTCTACTTTCACCTCTGAAGATGAAATAATTTCTATGAATTTATCAATCTATCATTTTTTAAACCATTTCATCGCAAGCAAGACAATAGAGACACTCTGGCGCAAGAGTGTTCGAGAATATGAAAAAAAAAACAATTATTAAGGAGAGAGAACAAAAGAACAAGAATTAAGAAGAGAGAAGATAACGATTGACATTGCATTTCCATGTTTGAAAAGTTGACCGGGAAGCAAGAAATAAGAAAAGATTTCCACATGCGAGACGTGCGATAGAAGAAACTGTTAGCATAGAACTTGCGGTTACATCTAGCCATTTCAAGTGGAAATTTAAGAAACCTTATCGCCAATCAAGTATTGCGCTTAGATTCTTTAAGCCTAGGTACTATAGAGAAAGGTTCAGCAGAAGAATTACTATGAAAGTATTTATAGAGAATGAAGCTATGTTACGTCGGTGGGAAAGAGACTGAAGCCGAGATGTCTTGCAGATTCTTCTTTGGATTTTATCAAAAATCTCTTAATATATAGCCGGATCACCAGACCAGATGTAGCAGCAGTATTCAAAGCAAAAACTCATGGTAGACTTGTAGGTAGTTTCTGGCGGGCAAAATTGTCTAGCATGACATTGTAAACCAACGTTCTTAGATACAGAGTTAGCAATTGATTCTATTTATGAATAAAAATGACAATAGGAAAACTGGTAATTGCTGACGCGTTTCGTCCAATGTGGACTTTATCAAACTTTATATTGCTTTGATAAAGTCCACATTGGACGAAACGCGTCAGCAATTACCAGTTTTCCTATTGTCATTTTTATTCATAAATATTGTCTTCTCTACCGATTAAATCGGAGAAATTTTCCTAATTGATTCTATATACTCTTTCCACTTCATTAGTCAGAGAAGGCGCAAGAAGTCACTCACCTGGAGGTTAGCATCAGTCATGCTAATGGAACGTAAAAAGTATTCTCGCAGATGATTAAAAGAAAGCAGTTTCGTTTTCCAGGCGTTACAATTAACAAACCATTCCTTGTCCCATTTAACAACAGATCGTAGGTCATTTTTGAGATCAGCTAGCGATCAGACTTTCTATTAAGACAGGAGTAAATAGCTGCGTCATAGGCATAGCCTTTCTTTTAATCATTTCACACCAAGAAAGGCGATAATGCCACTAAGACGCGGGAGTTACAGGAAGTATAAATGAAAGAGAAAACTGAGAATAGGGAGTGTTGAGTAAAGAACAAAAGATGAACACGATTCAAGAAGTCAGAAGATGGTGATTGACTTTGCATTTAAATTTTTGAAGATTGTAGCTATCAGAGAAGCAAATAAACGGATGGGTGTTCAACAGGTGGGGAGTTTGAGTAAAAAAAACTGTTGGAGTAGAGGGGGGCGGTTGCATTTAACTATTTCAAAATTAAAAGGGTTGGGCCTAGATGATAATCTATTAGCACGATTAAATTCATGTAGGCGGGGCGCCATGGAAAATATTTCGTCCGTGTAGTTGGCATGAGAATATTTGTAGAAAAGACAGAGGGAAGCCACGTCACGTCGTTGAGAAAATCGCGATGCTTGTCAGCTTCGATTACATCCTTCTTTGGATTTTGTCAAGAATATCGAGATGTACATCAGGAGCACCAGACCAGATATGACAACAGTGTTCAATGCACGGATGAATGGTAGATTTCTAAATGTGCAAGATGGATTCTGATGAGAAAAGGCTTCTGGCACAACACACTGACCCAACTCTTTTTGAAGTAGATTCGATATAGTCGGTCCATTTTATGTCAATGGAAAACTTTATACCAGAAAGGTGGTCTGTTCCCCTCCTGGAGTCTAGCATCAGTGATGTTAATGGCAAGCAGAAAAGCGTTTGTTGAATGAAAGCAGTTTTGTTTTGGTGCGTGAAAATGTACAAGCCATTTCTTGCCCTAGTTAACTGGAGATCCTTCCCATGAACAGCTGCCAGGTTTTCTTTGTCAGACCTGTCTGATTTGCTATTGGAAGAAGAGGAAATGACAGCGTTATCTACATTGATACCTAGTTGGGAACTGATGCCATCTGGGAGATCGTTGATGAAGATCAGAAACAGCGTAAGGACCAAGAAAGAGCCGTTGGGTAACATTCCCGTTCGTGTGAAGCGATCGGGAAGCCAGCTTGTTCAACACGACTTTCATTTCACGATTTTTTTTTTTTAGGAACGATTGGATTAAAACAAATATTCGTCCTGATAGATAGATAGATAGATTATGGAGAGAGAGAAAGAGATAAATAGATAAATGGCAGATTGAAATAGAAAGAGAGGTAGATAGATCGATAGATATCTGTGTAATGCGCAGATTGAGATAGATAGATAATAGTCAGACTGGGATAGATAGTTAGCCAGATAATGGGGAGATTTAAATAGATAAATAAATGGATAGATAAAAAAATGAGAAGACTGAAATAGATAGATGATGGGCAGAATGAAATATATATATATATATATATATATATATATATATATATATATATATATATATATATATATATGGTTGGATAGATGTGAGTTTGTGACCCTGGGTTTCACGCTTTAGCGATCGTCAGACAATATATAAATAATTATACATATATATATTTATTTATATTTATATACACTTTTCACACACACACACACACACACACACACACACACACACACACACACACACACACATATATATATGGTTGGATTGATGTGGGTTTCACGCTTTTGCGATATTTTTATTTATATACACACACTTTTCACATACACACACACACACACACACACACACACATATATATATATATATATATATATATATACAGTGGTTGGAGAAAATAAAATGAGATAATAGGCACAATGAAAATACACACACACACAGACACAGACACACACACACACATATATATATATATATATATATATATATATATATATATATATATATATATATATATATATACAGGGTTTTGACAAAATAATAATAAATAATGATAAAACACCTAGAATATTAGTATTATAATTTGAAACTCATATAAAACCATGAAACGTTTATTTTTGTGTTCTTTGATTTATTTTTAATTTTTCTTGGCTTATTTTACTAAAATTGTTGTTTTTTTACAGATATCATCAGAGGAAATGAATCTAAATTCATTAAAATGGCAGATCTATCAGACTTTAAAGAAGGTCAAATTGTTGTGCTCGTATGATAGGCGCTAGTGTAACAAAAACGTTGAATTATTTGGTGTAGCAAGGAGTAATTTCTCGCAAGTAATGACAGCATTTGAGAAAGACGGAAAAATCTCACTGAAGCAAAGCTCTGGATGAAAGCGAAAGCTTTCTGATAGGGACCATCGGAATCTTAGGCGGTTTGTTAAGAAGGATCACAAGAACACTGCTTCGAAAATTACAGCAGAGCTTAATGATCATCTCGAGAATCCATTTTCCTCAAAAATTGTAAGAAGGGAGCTGCACAAGGCCGAAGTTTACAGGAGGGCTTCAATAAGAAAACCACTCCGTTCACAAAGCAATATTTCAAAGCGTTTAGAGTGGAATAGAAAACTACAGATCTGGACCCTAGAACAGTGGAAGAATGTTATTTTCTCGGACGAGTCATTCTTTATCCTATTTCTGACATCTGGTCGAGTATACGTATGA